TTATAATATTAATAGATATTAATAGGTGTGTTAAATTAAAAGTAAATCTTTGTACCTATTATATTTTTGAGGAACTTAAGCGAATGCATGTGAAAATTATCACTTTAAAGTTAATGTAGAGAGAAAGCTAATTAAAAGAATCCTTGAGAAAGAATTATGGTCTGATTTTGACCAATCTTACTAATATTATAAATGCAAGTATTTAGATGGATTGATGGATGTTTTTTTTTAGAAGATATCTCGACAACCGTTGAACTAAACTTGATGGCATAGATGTAGAGTACAGTCTGAACACATAGGCTACTTACTAAGGTTTTTTTATGATTCCTCGCGGACGGTGTCGCGGCGACAGCTAGTTAGTAAGTGATATGTAATAGAGGGGTAGTTAGTCTTTATAAAAATGTATTAATATGAGGTAGAGAATCTTATAAATTGTCACTTGAGAAAAAGTTAACTCTCCTTACGTTTTAAATTTATCTGTTGAGCAACCGAGAGATCAGAAACTGTAGAATTTTTTTTAATGTTATTAAATAAATGAAGACAAATAAAATTAAAAGAAAGAAAAGTTAATGTTAAAACTTAAGCTAGAAAGTACAACTTATTTATGTACTGAGCAAAATCTTGGATAGAGTTTTTGCAAGAGTTAATTAAAATTTCTTTTCACAACTTAAGTAAGACAATTCAAGTATTACTTACTGCGAACTACAATTTAATCAAGTGGTTCCGTATTTCAATTAAAAATAATATCTGATGCACGTGTACACAAAAACATTTAAAAAAAATATTCAACTTTATGAGTTTGTTTTAAAGTCCAATTTTCCAAAGCAAAGCATTTCAACGAATATTCTGGCAAAAAATCATAAAAAAAATACATATCAAACGATGGTGTCAATGAAAGCTTAAACAGCTTTGTAATCATGTAGAAAATAAAAACGTTATGCATTGACTGTACTTTGACTACAACATACAGGATGATACTTTTCACTTCGACTGCTGCACCAAAATAAAAAAAGGTTTGGAAATTGTAAACAAAAAAATTTTTAGATTACCTAACATTGTTCACTTTATTAATATGACAGAAACGAATGATTGATGATTTGTTTCCGACAAACAAAAAAATTTACATGAGAATTATGACTTTTTGTATCCTTTACACAGCTTTATATTAAAATAAATTCAAATTAAAAATATTTTTAATTTTCCTTAATTAAACTATAAACAAAAACATCCGGTGGTCTAATTTAGTTCTCTTTCCCTTCCCACCCTTTTTCTTATAAGGAAAGGATAGGAAGTGTAAGTGGATTTTCCTGTTGAGAGGATGTATGGGAAGGGAAAATATTTTATTTGTGTGCATTCTCTCCTCCGTCGATTAAAGGTAGGCAATGCATACGCAATTGTGTATGTCTATGGGCAACGGTGACTTCGCTATTTCAGCTATTTCAGGTGCCCGCTCGCTCGTTTGCCACCTTATGATATCAACAAAAACATCCTGTATAATCAGAACTATTAAGGTGTGAGGCCGGTCGGTGAATCAAACTAACAAACGCGTTCGATTAACCCTACATCACGGCTATCTGATAACAGTATCAAACTGATAACTGATGACGTCACCACTGTAACATCACTACGTCGTACCGCTGTATTGCATTGGTGGAACAATCTCTACTTAATAGAGTTAACGTTCCATTACAATAAATACTCATTATCTTGTATTGGATTAAGTTATGCTAAATGTTTTAGCGCCAATAGCCAAGGGTACGGATTTCCGATGACGTGGTCGAGTGTTCGAATCCCGACATTCGATTATTGTCGTAAACCATGTCCTATCATAAGCTTAGAGCTTATTCGGAATGGGACAACAAATATTAGTAAATTAACAGAAATAGGCTTTATAAAAAAAATTGTTAATAATACAAATTTACTCCTGTAAACTGGTTTTTTTTAAATTCAACAGAACAGTTTTTATTCTCCAATAACAAGTTTAAAATATGAGCTATGATATTCTGAAAAAAGCATTTGAAATAAATAAGGTAACGTACACAGTGATGGTTCGGAATTAAGAAATCGAAACCGTTCTTTTGTTTGGAATTACAAAAAAATTAAACAACTTGAAATATGACCAAATTCTGGTTTAGGCTATGGACATGTTATAGATATGCTTATCACCCACATCTTGGAACCTTCGTCTTCTCGAAAGAGTACAACACCATTGAGATAAGTTTTTAACCATCATCGTCATCATCACCTTACTATAAGTCCCCACCGAGGGGCTCGGAGCCTACCCTAAGTTAAGGGTGATTAAGCCATAGTCAACCAGGCTCGCCAAGTGCGGGTTGGTTGACTTTGAATTTCTTCTCAAATATGTTGCATCACGATGTTTTCCTTCCTTCCTACGAACGTCGGATAAATGTACATATGTAAATCGGAAATCGAAAAACACATTGGTACATGGCGGGATTCGGATTCGGGAAGTTTTTAATGCATTTATTTATTTGAGTAACATTAAAAATTACTGAGCACTCTGATGTCAAAGGGTACGGTTGGGGTTGATTCAATAATCTGTGATTGCGTTACAGCGCTGTAAGCACGCGGATGCTTCCTCACTTCCGCCCCACATAGGGAACTTCCGATTACTTGAAAATGTCGATAAGTTATGCATGACTGTCATTATCAAGTTGCGTAGTTTAATTAGTTTTGTTGTGGTTTAACGTTGGATTTTAAAATACAGTTTCGTTTTTTTTTTCAAATATTCCAATTTCAAATTTTTTTAATAATCTTGGTATTAAGCGAGTCATTGATTTGGTTTACTTTTTCTTTAATAGAATTTTCTTTTGATTTGAAATAGCTTTGAATAGAACCATTGACTGCCAGTGATAAAATTAAAATTGCTTTCTTTAGCAAGCAACAAAGATGGATCATAATCTTTCAAAATTCTATTTCAAACGGACGAATAGCTTTTTATCTATCACATTTTGAGGCGGATCTTTGCGAAGTGGAAATTCTCAAAAGAAATATTTATAGTAACAGATTAAAAAATATACGTTTACTAAAACAAGTATAGTTTGAATTCATAATAGATTTAGTTTTCTTAACGAATGTTTTCTCATCATCATCATCATCATCATCATCATCTTTCCCTTCCCACTCTTTTTCTTATAAGGAAAGGATGGGAAGTGGAAGTGGACTTTCCTCCGTCGATTAAAGGTAGGCGCAACGCATATGCAATTACGTATGTTTATGGGCAACGGTCACTTCGCTATTTCAGCGATTTCAGGTGGCCAAGTGCTCGTTTGCCACCATATAAAAATCGTCATCATCATCTGCAAGGTCTTCGAATATCTTGTTTTAAATTAGTATTAGTGAACGTTTCTAAAAGAAAGAAGTGTCTCAATATTATTATACATTAAACTCTTATATACTAAGCTGTATATATTTGACTCTTATACTGATATAAGTAGATTTCAATTTATTTTAGAGTGGCCACTCCGTCTATTGGTGTAAATCGTATGAAAATCCATTCAGTAATTTCCAAGCTTATCGCTTTCAACCAGACATAGCTGGCAATTTTTTTATAAATGAAGTTTTATCTTATTATAATATTATAACAATAACATATTGATAGCGAAGAGCTTCGACCAACATCTCAAGAAGCTCTCGATAAACAGTTGGATTAAGGGCCCGATACAAAAGGCAGTTATCCTAGAAACCGCGCTCATTGTGAGAAGGTTCCTGTCTCTGCAGCCCTGACCACTGGTTGTTTGAGTCATGGGGTTCCGCAGCCGGTGGTGTTCTCTTTTTAATATAATATGTTTTGTATATTTTTATTTTTTTTGGATATGAAATGTATTATATTAGAAATGTGATAAATATATAATATAATATAATCTGTGTGTCAGTTATGAACATAGGCCTCTTCCAATTTCCTCCATTCCTCTCTTTATCTTGTGCTTTAAGTTTAAAATAGGTTAAATGTTTCGATTTGTTTAAGAGGAATGTGTTATTCAGTGTCTGACGTATACATTACGAACTGTGACGCATCCGGCGTCGTTCGTCATCACTCTTGTAAACGTAAATAGTCACGCACAAACATACAACAATGCCCACTGTTTATATGTGTCTAATTAAGTTTTGCTTGGAAAAGTAAACTTTGAATGTAAACGTATGAGTCAAGGTTTGTTTTGATCGAGTTAAATGTATTCTTTTTTTAAAAAAACAATAACAGTTTTATTATTGTTTTTTATTTTGTTTTTATTTATTTCTAGCTGTCACCCAAGACCCTGTTCGCGCGGAATTAAAAAAAAAATAAGTAGCCTATGTATTTATTAAAATCTGTTGAACCGTTCCGGATATACCTTCAAACAAACATACATCCATCCATCCGTCCATCTAAACATTCGCATTTATAACTAAGAATTAAGAAGTAAGATTTGTATTTAATTAAATCGGAATGAGGAAATATTAACTTTCATGCTCTATTATAAAACTTAACTAATTTGTTATGCAAAATTAGGTAAATAACTTAACAAACTTCAAGCACAAATATTAAACTAATATAAATACAAGAGTTAAGAAAAATACAGACAAGTAAATTAAAATAGGCAGAGAAAACTTTCTTATAATGAATTGGTTTCGTTCCGTTTAATACAAAATTTGCAAAGTTTGAGTTATTTAACTTTTTTAATTGCTTATTACTTCTGTTGTATATTGAATCAATTTAAAAAGTATACAAAAATAAGTCAACTTTAACCCAAAAGAGTAGATATATTCAAAGTCCCATGATCGCGATGCTTTTTCAAACTTTGGTTCTCTTTTAATTTTTGATTACACGAATGACACGAGGAGATGGGTAATAATAAAAATGCGTATAAAATAGAATGTGGTGTGATTCGACTTGTATTCCCATGGGTATTGTTAATTAATCTGCTTATTAATTTTCCACCTTGATTAAGACAAGAGTTAGCCAATAGAGGCTTTTGTGTAAGGCGCTTACACTAACTTACCTATAACGTACGAGTATCCATCTAATGTCAGGACGCATTTCCTCAAAGCGCCTGACACGGAACGATGTCTGTACGTCCTTGGTATCGCACCCAACGCTCTCCCACCGCCCGGATCGCTGTGACATTTGTGCACCAGTTCCTTGTCATTAGCCACGTTACTATTGCCGTCGACTGAGCCCTGCCTGCTGGCTTCCAGCAGCGCTTTACCTCGCCGCATCATCACATCACATTTAACGCTATCACTCAGTACTATCCGTCAACGTCACGACAAAACACTTCACGATATGTCACACGTCACGTTAAGATACGTCACAATGTTTAGATCACAAATTTAATTCGTAAATCACTTGAGATTATTTATTTGTACACTAGATATGTTTATTCAAACATTGTTTTTTTGATATGGAACAGCCGTGTCTCATAAACAAAGAGTGCGTCTGTAGACATTTTCATTGGTTTACTGTTGGGAGGAATATATATTTGAAAGTTATTACCATGGAGCAGACGTTGTAATATTTTTGAACATATTTCTTCGTCTAAGCTGGTGTGTATTTTAACTGAAATTGATATGTAGAGCTTGTAACCTTTTCGCGCGACTGACAGAAGTGTAGCATTATTAAGAATATTTGCAATGCAAGAATATAAGACCGCATTGTTGCCAACTCCGGACTAAACGGTCAGGTCAATTTTGAAGTGTGAAGTCTCATTCGATTCAATAAAATCGACGATTCATGTTATGAAATTAACTTGTTTTGTAATAGCCGTTCCCGAAATATAATACACGGTCAGAAAGTCCGATTCTAGGTAGAGTATCATATAAGTATGTAATGTGCTCCATCTTAAAATTTGTAAAGAGAGTTCTTTAAATGCAGAAATACACTAAAGTATTTCGTCCAAGACGCGGTATTCTATGTTCATGGTGGACTAGACTGTTTCAATAATAATCTTTAGCAATTCCAGTTTATTAGAAGAAAATAAGAGGTTCCCGTCGTCTCTTTAAAGCTCCCCCAGCTTTATGAAATGTTATTTCAATAGTTCGTGTGTTTGTCAAAAGTTTGATTTAAAAACTCATCCAAGTGCATCCGTCCATTGCTGGGAACTTAATTTGTCGTATGGGCGCGTAGTTTTTCAAACACGTTGTTATTTACCCGGCTACGGCAGGACCGTGTAATGAATGTTTGGCATTAGTCAGGTGGAAACACGGAAACCTATTTTCACGCGGCTACGAATGTTGATTTCCGCCATAGTAACGCTAGCATAGGGTGCCCATAAAATGTTGCGTCACTGTCCGCTAGGGGGTGGGGGCGCCCCCCATTTGTAAACAGATCGTGACGTTGTCCGGACTATTACGAATCGCTAACAACAGGTGGTCCCGAATCTTTGATTGTTAAGAATTTCGTACAATTTAAACGAGCTTGTTATTTCTAATAAAATCAATTAAAATATTATTTTAGTATACAATTTCATATTACTTGATAAATTATTTGATAACTATGAAATACAAGTAATGATGTATCGCGAATTATTTTTCGGCAATCCGTACTCGTGCCGCTGAGTACGACATAGCGTGACCACACGACCGTCTCGCGTGGCAGGCTGCGCGCGACTGTCGCTGTCGAATGTCGGGCCGGCCACATGCTCGGCTGCCAGGCTGCCACAGGTAGCTACTGACTATGATTAGCGCTGGATGTTTTAAGTTTAAAGTAATATGCAAATTTAAACCCCCAGAAGAACATTATTTTTTCAGAGCCTGAAGTATTAAGAGGCCTGGGATATTTTGCTACGAAGCGGATACAATGTTCGAGTATTCTGGATGAGGGCGACCGAGGTACAATCATTGTGGCAATTTTTTCTTTAGGCCTACGTTCAGCAGTGTGCGGTATGTGGCTGATATGATTATTCTATTCTATTTTTATTATTTACTTATTTTTGAAGGCCGATAGCGGTCTTCTTCTTCTTCTTTTTTGTCGTTGCAGTCTTGTCAGACTGGTCGTGGTCATCACGTATCAGTGACCCGCTTTACCAGGCGCCGCCACTCCTCCCTAGTCGCTGCCTTTTTTGTACATTGGTGCAGGGGGACATCCACAGCCGCTCTGATTTGGTCGGTCCACCTCATAGGCGATCTTCCTCGTGGTCTATTGCCCTCAACTTTCCCCTGCACCCTCCCGATAGCGGTAGACGGTAGCTTTAATTTAGTAAAAGTATTATATTAAGATGAAGTGCTACAGTACTTAGAACTGATTATCAACCTAGTAAAAACAGCGTATTATAATTTACAAATACTTTGTAATTATGTTAGTAACATTAGCAAACAAAAGCGACTTACAAAGGACCTTAAATTTGGTGAATTTTTTTTGTTAAATAATTTTGCTTCATTTAAATTTATTTTAGTGAAATTAAATAATTTGAAAAGCTAGGTAAGTGCTTTAAGCTTTGGTAAAAGCTCTCACTTTGAATTTACGTGAGGCCCACTAATGCGCTCTTAGTGTAACATTTTAAACCATGTAAGTACGATATACGGGTAACTTAATATGTATACTTTTCTGAAAACTATAGAAGTATGTTATAGGTTTTATTTACTTTATAATGTCAGATACAGGGCAGCATTCGTTAAACTTTTTATATAGTTATAATATTAATTCTATAAGCATTTGCTACAAACAAGAAGAGATGGAAGAGTTTGTTAAGTATTAGACGGAATTGTCGGTCAAAAATGTAATCCATCATTATTAAATAAAATCACCAATGTACTAAAAGGTAGCGACTAGGGAGGAGTGCGAACGAAAAAATATGAACTTCTTCAACTTATTATGATGGGCAAAATCGCAGGCAGAAGACGAGTTGGATGGAGGAGAAAGTCGTGGCTGCGAAACATCCGGGAATGGACCAATATTGCCAGCGTTGAATAACTTTTTCGCTTGGCACAGGACAGGAAAGGGTTCGGCCAACCTCCAGTAATGGAGAGGCATTAGAAGGAGGAGAAGGGAGGAGTGGCGGCGCCTTGCAATGCGGGACACTGATACTTGATGACCATGACCAGTCTGAAAAGACTGTAACGACGAAGCAGAAATTATATAAAAATTACAAATACGATGATTTGACTTGACTTGACTTAATGTTTTAGGTCACCGTAGTATAGACCAAAATAGGATGTTTTAAAAATATTAGAATGTTAAATATGTCATATAATTAGGAAATCACAAAAAAAGAAGTCTATTACATAATAGAATCAAATCCAAATCAATGTATTCAAATCCTCATTAATATTTTCACTGTATATTTTCATTCTGTGTGTAGAGAAATAAAATAAGTATTTAATAAACTCGTAATTCGTGGATCGAGATTTGTATCCTTTTGAGTGGAAATTTTTGTAAATCTATCGACATAAATGTTTGCGGCAAACACACAAATAACTCGGGAAGTGGGTACGCAATCAAAATTTTTTAATGTATGCCTATGGTATTCGTATTCCGATTGGCTCTTGATTTCCACAGAAGCAAACATTTTTAATATAAAATTATAATTACTCTATGAGACTAATCGTGAGTTTCTGAGATCAAAACCCTCGTTAAAATATATTGCTAACTCTGTTTTTTACCTTTAGTGACAGGGATGACGACATTTTTTATGCAGATATTTTGGTGTCAGAAACCAACGCTTAATAATTAACATTTAGTGTACTTGTCGTTTCTTTTTAATGAAATATCAATATATTAAGTATTGTAAATCATTAATGTTTAGCAGTTCATGATATTAAGAAATATTTTATAGTTAAAAATAATCTATATATATGTATATATAAATAAAATTGGATTGTCTGTAATATTGAAATAACCGTTTTTTTACTACATGTATATGAATATATAGACGAAACATACACCAAATTATTTTTTTTACAATTTGTCTGTCTTGTGTTTGTTCCGGCTAATCTCTGGAATGGCTAGACCGATTTTGACGGGACTTTATTGGCAGGTAGCTAATGTAATAAAGAATAACTTAGGCTACGTTTATTTAAAAAAAAAAAACAAAAGTAATGTTGCTATGTCCAAGTATACTGTCCAGTACCGCACGCAGCTCAGACAGTATTTGACTCGGACGAAGTCGCGGGCACAGCCAGTTTAATATATATTTTGATGATCAATCACAATTACATTCACCTCACGTGTCGACGTATCCATTTCGTTTTGCTTTTCTGTTATTTATGTCAGTGCCAAAATAAAACAACCTTGCACACATTAGAGAGCGTCGGTGGCACAGGGGTCATGCACTTGACTTGCAATCTGCAGATCCTGCGTTCGAATCCCGTCATGTACCAATGTGTTTTTCGATTTCCGATTTACATATGTACATTTATCCGAAGTTCTTAAGGTGAACGAAAACATCGTGATGCAACCTGCACATATCTGAGAAGGAATTGAAAGATAAGTGTGAAGTCAACCAACCTGCCCTTGGCCAGCTTGGTTGACTACCTAATCATCCTTAACTGAGGGTAGGCTCCGAGCCCCTCGGTGGGGACGTATAGTGAGTTGATTATGATGATGACACACATTATACTGTATTTAATTCGATGTATTTGCTTAATTTGTATATTATTAGTACTTCATACAAAAGATAAGTATGTGAAGACTGTGCCAAATCGAAATGTACTCGTATAATCTAAACCAATTGTTAAGGTTCTGCGCGTGTTTGTATTCATGTAGTACTTCTATAAATAATGAATCCAAAATAATAAATGTTTCAGAAGAGAAATTGCTCGTATTCACAGGCTAGGAATGCCATACACGGTCAGCTTTAAGCACACAGAACTGAGTGATGCAGCCGGTCAGCATATTATATCGGCAAAAATTTGCAGCACGTGTAAGGGACAAGTCAACCGACATTCCTATTTTGATTTTAGCTATCGTTATGGACTACGCGCAGTCCGTTTATGGCAACCTTTATACCAAGTTCTCGCGTGTTCGGGGCACATTTTAGCCGCGGCCGCACGAACGATTTGTTTTATCGCTCAGCCAGATAGCCCGCCGTGGAATTTCCCCGTCTCTCATTTCCATTTCCCGGCATAATTCCTGCCCTGCACTGGACATAAACTACAAATTTCAAATTTTGCATGTAATTAGCTTCTAAACCTTCCTTTGTTAGTTGCAATTAAATTGCACTTAGTAATCCAATTAAATGAAAATATATATTTTGTATTTTTAACGTTGAAATAAAGCATGAGCTTAACTAATTAACTTAGCTAATCATTTGAATAAATTACGGATTAATCCTGTTCGAAATACAAAATGTTCTCCTGTTCTATGTCATACCATGTTTCTATTTAAGAAAATGTTTTCCTAAACTTTGAAGTTTTAAATCACTAATTTTACTTGTAAAAAACTTCAATATTATCTTTCCGGATTCACAAATTTCGCTAAAATCAAGCTTTTTAAATAAATTTGTATTATAGTTCATGTCTGGTAGGCTCGTGTTAACAAAGGACTTCCTCGAATTTTCATAAAGTCTGTTTCAAGAGAAAAAAAGCGCGAGCAAAATGAGCTTTATTTTTAACATTTCCGCGTTTGAAGTCATCTCCTGATTACGTATTCATTT